TGACAAAAACTGAGGACTGATGGATGTGGGGGGGAGGGGGGGGAGGGGCATGAAGGAGGGCACTTTGGGGATGAGCACTGAGTGTTATGTAGAAACTAATTTGACAATAAACTATTTGTAAAAAAAATAAATAAATAAAAAAAAAAAGAAAAAAGAAATGTCTCTGTATCTGAACCTATCTCCTTTTAAAGCTCCACTGAGAAATGAACAGAAAGAGAAGCTAAACCCTGGCACACAAAGTCTTTGACATTTCTCTTTAGGCCAACTCCCATGCACGTGCAGCCAGGAGCACTGGAAACAGGACCTGAGTGAGGACATTGAGACTGGACGATGCAAGTCAGGTTTGGGGACAGCCCTTTTACCACCTAGTCCTTCTCAAACTCTTCCGCTGGCTTATCATCCTCAGCTGAAACTTCCAAATGTTGGTGTGTCTCAGGAGTAGTCTTGCACCTTCTTCCCTTCTAGCCCTGTTCCTGTTGCTGGAGGTTCAGGGGCTTAGGGATTGTCTTCAGGTTTGACAGGCTCGCGGATTTGCTGGCCATAGCATGACTTCTTCAAACCTCTTTGTCCTGCTTTTTTACTGATTTCTGTTGGCTCTGTGGGCTGGAAGTCAAAGCTAGAGGAAGAGATGTTGTGGAGTCCTGGTTGCTTGAGTCGGTCCTGCTTGGCATTTCTGTCTCCTAACAATGGGTCGAGAAATTCTTCTCATCACCTGCACATCCTCTACCCCCCGGCAATCCTGGCTTCCCCGCTTAGCCTCTGCCTCCTTGGGGCCCTCTTGGATGGCCACCTGGAACGGTGAGGCACAGCTCATCTGCCTCCTGCCTACAAGCAACCTAGGCCTCCAACAGATGGCTCTTAACAGCAGTGACAGTGATCACCTTGGTCAAACATCGGCTGTACAGCAGGCTTTTCCTACGCCTCTGTCCTTTTCCTTTGTTGGCACTAGCCCTGTCCAGGGGCAGTGGGCTGAATTTTGCAAGCTGACGAGGTATGTGTCTGTGTGTCTGCTTCTCAGCCACCTTGGGATGCTTTCCAGCCAGCACTAGGAAAGTTCTCACTGCCTCACACCCCACCGTGACTTGGTCAGTTCCGCAGGCTCAGGTTTGCTCTGTCATGTGCAACTGCCTAGGTCCAGCCAACATTGCCACCACAGAAAACGGCTTTATTTACCCAAGGAAGGTGGATGGGCAGGAATGAGGGGGAGGAGACAATATGTGCTGGGCAGATGAAATCCCATGGCCGCCGTAGTCCAATCACATAGCAGCACCTATAGCCCTCCGCTGGCATTTCTGTTATTTGTATGGGCAGCCTGAGCTTTAGTGGAGTGAGTGTCCTGAGGGAAGGCACTATGGTTCTATAATTTTTTACATCTGACACCAAAGTCCACGCAGTTCAATGCCTGGTTCACAGTAAGTGAGAACTCCTATTTACGGGGGGTGGGGGGAAGGAGGGACAGAAGGAATGGTTGTTCTATCTCTTCTGGAACTGGTCACATCTGACTGTCTTCTTTTTGTTCTATCCTCTCTGTCTCAGTTGTGTGCAGGGGAGGGCACATGCACATTTATATGTGCACTGATGGGTTCTTTTGCCCAGTTTTATTGAGCCTTAATTGACATATAGCATTGTATGAGGTTAAGGTGTACAACACAATAATTATATATATATATATATATATATACATACGTATGTATATATACATATATATAAAACAATGAGTTCAGTTAACATCTATCACCTCACATAGTTACACATATATTTCTTGTAATGAAAACTTATAAGATCTACTCTCTTAACTGCTTTCTGTATTGACATTTATTTTGTACTCCAAGGATCCGATCACACCCACTGATTGCCTTCTTAAATGTGCTGAGTGGTGCCCATAGACTTGGGTACAGAGTCCAAGCATCTTAGCTTGCTTTTCAGGGTTCCACACCTTCCAGCTCCATCTCATGCTCTATGCTCTTGAAGACCATGAGCTCTGCCCACGCCAGATTATTAGGCATGACCAGAAGTGGCTTTGTGTGTGCTAGCGTGCCACAGGGCCTTGTGCGCAATCTGATCCCTCTGTTTGGAATGCCTTCCTTCCTGCCTCGACATTGGTTCACATCGGGGGTTTCATCTTCTGTGCAGCCTCACTTGACTCCTACCAGGAAGAGTTAGTGGTTAGGTCCTCCTTTCTGGAGCAAGTAAGACCCTAGCTTCTGTTATACTCTATTCTCTTGGTTGCTCACTTATCTATCCCCTCAGCATTTGGCCCCGTGTGGCCTCTCTGCTCCCACAACACACACACCTCACCTTTTCTCACCCCACTCCACACCACCAATACGTCAACACTCACTGCTCAGTTATCTCATGGCCTGTCCTTTAGCTCCCAGTGCCAAGTACTCGATAAGGCTTTCACAAATATTAGCTGATTAAGTGGGACCAGGCACCTCATTCTAGAGATTTTGGGTTTTGTTTTTGTTTTGAACATGGATGTGCATTTCTTGGTTCACGTTAGTACCTTAGCACCTTGAAGGCAGAGCCAAGAACAAACAAGTGCTTGGCTCTGGACCGGGCCCTGTCCCGAGCCCTTGGTTTGGCTTTCCTCAGAGTATCATCGAGGACAGCACTAAGGACAGGGTGTTCTTGATTCCCCCACTGTCAGGCTGCACGTACTGAGGCTGGGTGTGTGGGAGGAACTGGGGAGGGGATGTGTGGAAGAACCCCATGTCCCTAGTTCTCCTGTAATCTGGAGCAGGGACAAGGTTCCAGCCCAGACTGTCCGTTCCCAAGGACAAGCCCCAAACCAGCTTATGCGTCCTGCTTCCCAGACCCCTGTGTCCCTGGGACCGGCACAGGCTCCATAAATATTTGTGGCATGGCATTATGAATGAATGAATACGTGCCCTTGTGTTCTTTATTCCCTCTTTTGCAAGTGTTGCAGAGGAGGAAAAGAGCTGGAAAAGCGGGAGGGATCTCTGAGAAAATGGGTCAGCAGGCTGCAGGGGGAGCTTGCCCCACTGGCCCCAGGTCCTGCTCAGAATAGGTGTTTCCTTGGTTGGCAGCGATGCTGCAGAGTGTGTGTATGAGCTGAAGTGGGGAGAACCCTTGAATGTGAGAAAACCATTTTTCTCGGCTTTGTTTAGGCCGGGCAAGTGTATTCTCAATGCCACCCACCCGTTCTTGCAAGGTTCTTGATTTAATCATTTAAATGTTCTCTGGGGGCTGGAGGGGGGTGTGCGGGGAGATAAAACAAAACCGCCTAAATCTAAACTGTATTCCCCAGTCCACAGTGGAGCCCTTTCCCTGGCTTCATCTTCATAAATATCCAGGCAACCTGAGAGACTGAAGGCTCACCCCCACTCTCTCTCCCCAAGCCTCCGGCTCCCACCACCGCCCCCGCCCCCGCCCCCTCCCACCGCCCGCGGCCCCACAGCCCCGCAGCAGCCACAGGGGGAACCAAAGAGACAGAAGCCTTCCCAGCTGCCCGGACCACAGACGCCAACACCCCCCGTCCCCCACCACACGCCGCCTGCCCGCCCGCGCCCCGCACGCTAGCCCACGATCGAGAGGCGGCGGCGGCAGCAGCAGGCTGCAGGCTGCGGCGACTCGCACCGGCGCGCTCCTGGCAGCGCTTGCTATCCCAAGTGACTTGGACTCGCCAGATCGGCTGGCCGCGGGTCCCCGGCCCCAACTCCCGCTCGCGCCCCCGACCCGGGTTCCAGCGGCCACCCGCCCTCTTGCCCTTTCCCGCCTCTCTGCCCCCCAGCTCGCGGGAAGGGAGGTCGCGGCAGCGGCCTGGCGGCACCGGCGACCGTGGCGGCACCGGCGACAGTGGCGGCGGCGGTGGCGGCGGCGGCTGCAGCGGCAGCGGAGGCTGCGGCGGCGACCGTGGCAGAGGCTGTGGCGGAGGCCTCCGTAGCGGAGGCGGAAGCAGAGGTGGAGGCTGAGGTGGAGGCCGCGGCCTCAGTGGAGGAGGCAGTGGCGGAGGCCACCCGGGGGGAGGCGGCGGCCGCCCTGGCAGAGGGGGAGGAGGCGGGGGCTGCGGTGGCGGCAGTGGTTGCGGAGGCTAGCGCGGCTGAAGCCGCCTCCGCCACCGCAGCAGCCGCAGCAGCCGCAGCAGCAGCAGCGGAGGCTGCGGCGCCTTCCTTAGGGGAGGCGGCTGCGGCTGCGGCTGCGGCTGCGGAGGTGGCGGCGGCTGCGGCGGCGGCTGCAGCCGCAGCCACGGATGCAGATGCGGATGAGGAGACCAGCAGGGGCTCCGAGGGGAACCCAGACTTTCCTATGGCCTCGCTGTACGTGGGCGACCTGCACCCTGAAGTGACAGAGGCAATGCTCTACGAGAAGTTCAGCCCCGCGGGGCCCATCCTTTCCATCCGCATTTGCAGGGACAAGATCACCCGCCGTTCGTTGGGCTACGCGTACGTCAACTACCAGCAACCGGTGGACGCCAAGCGGGCCCTGGAAACCCTGAACTTTGATGTCATCAAGGGCAGGCCCGTGCGCATCATGTGGTCCCAGCGGGACCCCTCGCTCCGCAAGAGTGGGGTGGGCAACGTCTTCATCAAGAACCTGGGCAAGACCATCGACAACAAGGCGCTGTACAACATCTTCTCGGCCTTTGGCAACATCCTCTCCTGCAAAGTGGCCTGCGACGAAAAGGGGCCAAAGGGCTACGGGTTTGTGCACTTCCAGAAGCAGGAGTCCGCAGAGCGGGCCATTGACGCGATGAATGGCATGTTCCTGAACTACCGCAAAATTTTCGTTGGGAGATTCAAGTCGCATAAAGAACGAGAGGCCGAAAGGGGAGCCTGGGCCAGGCAGTCCACCAGTGCTGACGTCAAGGATTTCGAGGAAGACACCGATGAGGAGGCCACCTTGCGATGAAGACATGCCAGGAGCGAGTCAGCCAGCAGAGCCAAATCTTGGCTCCCACCCGGTTTACAGCCCCCCTCTTTGCCCCCCTAACCCACCAGCAGTGTATTGTATTGTACTGGGAGTGCAGGTCTCTCTCTCTCTCTCTCTCTCTCTCTCTCCTTCTCTCTCTCTCTCTCTCCTTCTCTCTCTCTCTCTCCTTCTCTCTCTCTCTCTCTCCCTCCTGTCTTCCCTTCTTCCTCCTTCCTTTCATCCCCTCCTCCTCCTCTTCCTCCCTCTTCCTCCTGTCCTCCCGACCTCTCACCTCCCCTCACACCCACCAAAGGCGTTATGAATAATCTTGCTAATCTGTGCCACTTGATAGATTACAGGCTGCCTCTTCTCCTTATGGTTTGGTTTAAAAAGCACTTTCATTCTCGCTTCCTTCACTACACAGGTGATACAATTTCATGGTAGAAACATCAGACAGGAGAAGGAAATCAGATGAGGGAAAACCAAGAGAGTAATTGTTCGCCATGATTCTACTACTGGGGGACAAACACTTTTTGGTGTGCTGTTTTCCCAGGCTCTCCTCTCTCCCTCTCTCCCCCGCCCTTCCTCACTCCCCACTCCCACCTTCCCTTTTAACACACTGTTATAGAATGGTTCTGATGTGTGGTGTTTCTTAACCTGCTTCTTCAGAAACTAAAACCAAACAAAAACCAACCCATTGAACTTCTTTCCATGTTATTCAACAGGCTTCCGAAACGTCATCTTCAGTGCCTGCAGAGTGTATTGATGGATCTTTAACACTTCTGTAATCATTCCGCATTGTTGGACATTCAGGTGGTGCCTAGTTCTTTCCTTGTGTTTAAACCCAACACTGCATACTCTGATGAATGAATCCTTCCTTGTCAAGCCAAATCTTCGCTAGCATACCGGATGGTCTTCTAAATTGTGGACTTGCAGGATCCACAATAAAATATCCTTGCAGGATATTTTAAAGACTTTTCCTGTGTGTTGCCAAATGGCTCCTTCATAAGTATTGTACTGATTTGCATTCATGCCAGCCAGCACAGCTAGTAAAAAGAGTACGTCCATTTCCCCTGCAGAGTCTCCTGGTTACCGTAATTTGCGTGTGTGTGTGTGTGTGTGTGCGCGTGCGTGCGTGCGCGCTCCCCTGTGTGCGTCTTGGCCAACTTGATGGGCTACAAATGGTATTTCAGGTTTTTCAGATTTTAGGTTATCTTACTGGATTTAAATGCTCTTTATCACCTCTTTTCCCTGTGCCCACTTCCTGCCCTTTTCCCCATTGTCAGAAAAATCATTCGGCTTTATTGCAGGAAAAAAATTAAAGAGCAGACAACAGAAGAAATTTAATGTTCCCAGT